CTGGAAGGAGTGTATTTTTGGTGTCCCCGACGTTAGTCCTCATTCCCTGCACTGTATAATCACACGTTTCTATTTCAAAGCAATGACTCACTCTGGTTTTTCACATCTGGAATGTTTACCTCAAACATTCCTCTCTTTACATTGATGTCCTTAATGATATTTAGGAATTCCCTTGTTCTCTTGTCACGTCAGACTTAATTTCCCGGCTGTGGGTGAATGCTGTATGGCTATTTGCTGTAATACAGCTCTGAAATCAGCAGCTTTGCACTTTGTCGGAAGGTCATCGAAGATGATATCCTCAATGAGATCTGTAGGTAGGGTTCCTGTTGTCCACGCAGAAAGGAATTTGATTAATGTGTAATTTCAGCTCTTATGTATTATTATAACTTAACTGAAGAGTGCAGTAGAATAATCTATTTGTCATGGGACCTTATTTGCACAAATCCTCTTAAACCGTGTCTTCTGCACTGAGGGAAGCAGGACGTTTGTTCTCTTTGAGAGCTGACAGTGGAACTTGCTTTTAAGAGTTGAGATTTCAACAACACTTCAGTCTGATTTTAATATTTGAGTTTTAAGGTTCTTGCGTGACTGTGTGCAGGCAAAATCAGCAGCCCTTGTTTTCTTAAGAAAGATTCTGTGGATCGATTCAATCACTTGAATCTGAAATTAGACCGAATTTGAACCCTCGTTAAAAGGGCAGGCTTGAAAAATCGTATTGAAATTGAAAGTGGAAAGAACAGTTCACCAGGTCTGCCTGCTTGGATCGCACGTGGATGGGAGCAGCTCTGTGTGCTCCGGGGTAACGCTTTCCCTGCAGCCTTTCAAAGTGCAACAATAGAAGAGGACAAATCTGTGCCATCCCAGGATAAAGGGCAGCAAAAGGAGTCCTGCCAGCTCCGTGGATGCAATTGATTTGCCTTTTAATTCTGCAAGCAAATCTGGTGTTTGTGGAGAACGGGAAGCAGCGCAACGTTCAGGATCTAAATGTGAGCTGTTGACATGAAGTTTGTTTTTTCAGAGGCAGATTTTGTCAGTGGAATATTTCGTGTCTGGTTTTGATATTACAAACGTCTTTTCTTCCTCCTCAATTTGTTCTTAATTAAATTTTGTTACAATTTAGTGTTTTCTGCGGGTTGCTTTGTCTGCTGCCTGACTTCTGACCTTTAAGAAAGAGAGGATTACTTTCTCAGGAGCATTGTTTTCATTCTTTTTTTCCTTCGTTATTTCTGCTTTTCCCCCCTGTGAAAGATTCTCAACCCCCCGAACATTTTGTACATTCACTGCCCAAAAGTGTGGGAATGTGTGGTCATTTCAGACATCGCTGCTGACAACTTTTCTGTTCGTACCACATATTTACCATCTTTCCCATTGTTTTTTTTTTTCCTTAGATGAGCAACAAAAAGATTTATTCTATGGTGCACAAAAAGCGTCCTGGGACTTTGTGTTGTGGTGTCTTTTAGTTCTGTATGAACCTCTGTAAATGTGTCCTCATAAGTGGAGCAGTAGCTGTAGTGATGCACCTGCTGCTTTACATGCTGACTTGCTGAATTTTGCCAGGGTGTGCATGCTGTCCTCCTTTTGCTGGATGAAGTTTTATAAAGCTTGATTTGGGAGGTGAGGTTCTCCAAGAAAGCAAGCTCTGCACTCTTAGCATTTCAAAACAAGCACATCCTTTTGTTCTGAATGTTACCAGCAGCCATCTCTTGTCCTGGAGAAAAGACCTCCAAAGCCCCTCTCAGGCGATCCGAGTCCTTTCCTTCGCTGCTCTGAGTGCATCTCTCTTCCAAAATGCCGTTGTCTTTTTGCCAAAGTGCTGACTTACACTGCTGGATGTGGCTAAATGTTTCGATCAGGGCTGTGATGTGGCTCAGGGAAGCCGTGCTGCTCGCAAATTACGGCACTTCGTGCTGCTTTTGACTAGCAAGCATTCTGAGGGGTCACATCTCCTCTCACCGAAGCACTGCTGTCCTTCCCAATAAGGGCTTCCCCAAGTTAAAGGTCTCATGTGCAGCCTCTCACTTTATTCCTGCCTTTCATACTTCTTTTCTGGCATTTGACATACGCAGTGCGAGCCGCTGGGCTGAGAGCTCTCCTGCATGTGATCCCTTATGGAAGAGAGCAGCGAGGCAGCACGCTTACTTTCTCTGGTATTGCTTGCACATGTTCTCGAGTCGTATCTCTCTGCTAGGGGTAAATCATATTTATATGTCCATGTGCACTTCAGAAACACCCCGCTGTCACTTGCATTTAGTCCTTGTTCAGCCATCAGCAGGCAGCTCTGGGGCAGTTGCTAAAGACCTGTGATTAGGGTAACGCTTAGAGCTGGAGTACCAAGGAGATGGATTTGTACATCTGTAATTCATGCAACCTTGATGTCAGCTATCTGGGTGCTTAAGGGCTGATTTGCTATGCCCAATTTGCAGGTGCAGTCACTGTGGCTGAGCACACAGTTGTGTGCATGCAATGGTTGTGTCACCTGCACCAGTTTTATGCCTTTGGCTGGCTAGGTTGGAATTCTGTGGATAAGGGAAGAGAAATACACCCGGCTGTGACAGTCTCTCCAGTCCCAAATCTGCTTTTCTCACTATACCCTCAGCTTGTCTTCTGTCTTCCCTGCTTTCCTCTGTTGTCGTGTTCTCTCCATGAAGGCAGTGGTCCCTCTATCCAATTTTTTGTGACCATTTCTTGTCACTTTAATTAACTTTTGCAGTCAGTAAGCCAAATGTTTCTTGTCTTCTGTCCACAGAGCAGCTTCTGGAATGCTTTATGTCTCACCTCTGCCCATCGTCTTTCTTAAGCTCTCCTAATGCAAACAGCTCATTGAGGCTCTTGTCATAAATGATTTTGCTTTTGATTTCTGTTGAAACAAAGAGACGTCCTGGAATGTGCCATACTGACACCATAAGAGTTAAAATCTCTGGCTGGACTGCTGTACTGTGAGTTTTCTCAGACCTGCAGTCAATGCAGTCATTTCTCTAACAGCAGCACACGAGATGATAGTCATTAAAATGTCTTGATGAACAAAATACAGACATTTGTTCAAAATAATCACAGCACACGGCCGTGTTATGCAGGACAACACAACTGCTCTGTGTGCACTGACAGCTGAGGTCATACCAAGAGTTAAAACACAACTATTTTTATTGGACATTGCTGCAAAGATTTATAAACCCATTTCTCCGTGTAGCGCGTATTGGTAATAGATTGCACTCCAAAGTGTGGTCTCACTATTTACAGTACAGTATGTGCTTTCCTTTTGCTGACACCCATGGAAAGGAAACTGTTGCACAGCAGCAGATGATAATTTCAATCGGTTTTCCTCCTTCCCTACTCCCACCCTTGTTTTGGAGACACAGAGAGGGGCTGTAAAGCAATTTTGAATAACATGGCCCTGTCACTCGCTGGTCATCAATCCTCAGCTTTGTAGAGTGCTTTGGAACCAAATTCTTGATGCCAGTGCTTTCCTCCTGTGTGTTCGAGTGGCTTTTTGAACAAATCTGTACTAAAGTAATCAGAAAACAAATGGAAAGTGATGATGTCTGAAGGGATACAACATTCCCCTTGAGCACGTTAGATCAGCACCTGTGAATTTCAGATTCTGAGGGCTCTGTTATAATGCAAAGGAGAGCACAGAGCTCTTAGTCTGTGCAAGCCTGGCATTTTGCTGCTGTCACCTTCATTTCTCTTGCAGGAAAAGACATGCATTGTTCAAAGGGCTGTACAGCAGCTTGAGTGTAATCACTTACGTACCTCAGGATCCTCCTGGGCTGTAAATTTGTAAACACAGTAGGTTGAAAAGATGGTTTTATTGTGCTGGGCATGGCAAGCAATTAATACAAAAAGAGTACAAGAATTTTAAGAGCTCCTTCAAGCACAGCCACGTTGACCGAAACCAAATACTGCAGCTTTGGGTTGGCTTTTAACTATTGCAGATCTAAATCTGAGAAGTTCAGAAGTACTGAAATTGCAATGATTGGTGAATGCTCGGATGGTTCTGGTTTACATCACAGTTTGGAAATGTTGGCTTCACTTCTTCGCTTTTTGAAGTGCTTTTTTCTGCAGTTCTGGGTTATAAATTTCCTTTAGCATCCAGTCAGACACCCCCAGTTCAGAGTGCTTTAGCAAGATGTAAACTGCTGTAAGGTTACAGCAAAATGGTGTGAGAAGTGCCTTGAAAAAGCTACCATGTACGACAGGTTTCCTTCTCAATTTTTCATCTGTTTGTCCAGATGTTGAAATGAGTATTTTTTGGAGCCTGACGAGTATTTTTGCACTGCTTCTTTGTACAATTAGGCTTCCACTTCGATGGCAGAGTTTGCAGATGCTAACGAATGTGGTTTGTGTTGGCAGTGGGACTCCATCTGTATCAGCTTTGTTTCAAAATACTCCAACGGTCCAACTCACAAGTCGTCAACATGGTGTTTTTATAAGAGTTTGGCAACTTAGCACCAGATGCTGGGAAGTGCAGAATGTGGCTCTTTAAATGACTCCATAACAGTAGTAACGCTTTCAGATTTGAATTCTGTGCTGTGTTTTTATTGGATTCTATTGAATCCCGCGTTGAGTTTTAAGAGGTTGTTTTACATGCAGCTTTATGCGACCCCATGCTTATCATGCACACGTTGTGAGCACTATCAGCAATAAATAAAGCTTTCTCCAGTTTGGGCTTAGGAGAGCTGGATCCTTCTGTTGCCATATTGCTTGTGTTCGATGCAGTTTCCATGGGTAGAAGCGTACATTTGGAAACATGGTAGCGATGCTTCTAAATACACAACTGTGCACATTTAATTTTGTGAATATTGTTGAAGCTGCTGCTGAAATCATCCTGCTGTACAGCTTTGGTGTGTTTCTAACTCTCACTGTTTTTCTTTAGGCTGTTCTGAGTCGTTCAGCTCCTTGTTTGCCCAGTGTGTGCGTGGCAGCGTCCATCAGCGCTGTGTGTTCCTGAAAACAGGGATTTGAGCTGGGTGCCATCCCTTTGTGTTTCTCTGTAATTACAGGTCATCTCTTTTATAAATTTGGGATCTCAGAATCTGACTGGTATCGAATCAAGCAGAGCATAGACTCCAAGTGCCGAACAGCCTGGAGGCGGAAGCAGCGGGGGCAGAGTCTGGCTGTGAAAAGCTTCTCCAGGAGAACGCCTTCGTCGTCATCTTACAGTGGTTCAGGTAAAGAACCACTTTTGTTTTTTTTAATCTTTGTATCTGCAATTGTCTTTCAATATACCTTGCACAGGTGCGGTGGCAGTGCTAAGTCACAGCTTGAAGCAGTGATTGAGCACCTGGTGAGAAAGCAGGGCCAGCCTAGGGGAGCTCAGGTGTGTGCAGTGAACCTGAGTGATGGAAGGGCTGGAGCCAGGATCCACCCCTTCCCAGCCCTCATTTAAGGGTTGGCAGTGGAGGTGAGGGTATTTTGCTGGTAGCTCCTGTGTACCTGAGGCCTTCTGAAGGTAAGCAGCTTCTTTTGTTCCTGTGTCTATGGCTGTTGCGTTTGAGCAAGCCCTCACTTGCTGTAGCCTAGGGCTCTGCTTCTTTGCTGTTGCTGCTGCATGTTCCATCACATTGCAGATTTTTTTTCTTAAGGTATAGCTGTGACTGGTGCACACTGTACCTGCAAATTTGATTTTTTTAAATAAGAAATATAAATTGAGACAATCTTCCTCTCTGTTTTTTTTTAGTGGATTTTGTATTATTATTTTTTTAGTACTGTTTATCTTTGGCAAGGAGAGCTCTCCGTTACTCATTACACTACCAGCATATTTCTGCAGTGCTCCTTGAGAAGTGACTGCAGTGTTCGTTTAGTAATTGGAGGCAGCCACTCATAGTTAAATCATTGTAGATTCAATGCAATCCAGCCACCTTCTGGTGTATGTAGAGCCTTTGGTGGCCTCCTGGGGCTCATACTGTAGTCAGTCTCAGGTAGCAAGAACATCTATTGCTTCTACAAACTGTGGCTGTAAAACCACTGATTGGAACGTACTGCTGACTCAAGAAAGGAAATGAGAGGTGTGTTTGTACACCAAAAGGAGAGGGAGAAGGGAAACTGTCTCTAAAGAAGTTGTAAAATATGGACTTGTCAGGAAAGAAAGCGTAGCACATCCCATTCCATGAGAGAGTTGCCTTTGGTGATTTGTGTGTTCTCTGAACTTTACTGGTATGGTTGGGAACGTCCATCCTGTGTGCTAACTGAAACAGTTCACAGTGTGCAGCATCACACGGGTAACTTGCCGTGATGGACTGTAAGTAAAAGCATTTCATTTGCAACTGACGTTCATGAGTGGAGTCAAATGAATAAACCTTCCTCCATGTGTTCACACCATTTAGTGGGACGTGCTAAATTTTGCTTATAAAGTATTTTCCTCTGTAGAAATTAAATACGTTGCAGCCGATTCTGTGTTTCCACATAGGTGTGTAGGCATGAATAATAATAACAAATGAGAAATACTGAGCTAAGAAGTGTTCTCATAGGACGTTTCTGGCTCATGCTTTTAATATAAAGCAGTGTTATGGGACATTTGTACATCGTATATTAAAACCAGTGCTTTGGAAGTGAGCCCAAAGAAAAGGAAGCAAGTTTATTTGCCTGCATAAAATTTTTGGTTGCATGTTAACACTAACCACTGTATCTCATGCAAAGAAAGCCAAAATCTGCTTTCAATGGAAAATTTTATGTGCTGGAACTGGGAATCAAATCCAAAATTTTCAAATTAAAACAACTAATCAACCTAATGATAACCATAAGCTGTATATATATGTTGATGGGATTTTTATTTTCAGTCTCCTTAAGAGTAAAAACACAGTAGTGAGGGGTTGTTACAGGCCTCTGCTCATTAGGCCATACGCTTTGTCTGTCATTGAGATTTATTGTTAAAAAATATTATCTTTAATCTCCTGGTTGGGAGCTTTGGAGAGACATATAAGCACAGATTCAGGGAGTTCTTAACTTCAGAAAGCCATAAAGTAATATGTTGTGGGTTGTTTCATTCATTAAGCTGAAACCTCCAGGTGTTTTCTTTTAGCCCTATCCCAGTTCCACAAACACCACTCAGCGTTGTCTTGTTCCTTGGGCACAATTGCACCTGGGGTAACTCCTGGGATTTGAGCTGGTCCTCCCATCTCCTGTGTTTCCCCAGTGCTCTGTGCATCCTGGGGCTCCCACTGTACTGCACGTCTCAGCTCTTCTGGGTAGCAAAGAGGCGGCTGCACGTCTGAAGCATGGTGAAGGTCAGTCGAGGCATCTTGACATGTCATTTGCAGGACTGTATATAAGCCGTGCAGCCAAAAGTAGAGAGCTGGCAATAGCATTAACATCTGCCTTTGGTAATGGTACGTGAAAATGTTCCATGGATTCTGAGTTTTTTGTTAATTTCTTTAAAATATTGCTCTTGCTAAGAATGTCACTGGCATCGTTTTCTGGGAGGCCGTAAAGATTGTTGGACGAATTCACCGCTACATTCACACCCACTGTGAAAGCTGTGTTAGAAAAACAGCCCTTTTCTCAGGGCCAGGTGGTCCTCAGGGAAACTAATTGCATTCTTAAGGCAGGTGGGAGTGGGATTTCACCTGAAGGAAGAAGAGGTAGGAGGAAAAGTAGGATGGTGGGACGGATAAGGGGCTGTGTTAGAAGAAGGGAAGAATCGAAGATGAGAAAGGAAGAGGATTCACATGCTGTTCAGAAAGGTAACTGTCATTGCTGCAATGATCCTGGTCTGTGCAGGTATCTCTGTGAGCTGCTCAGGCTTTGTCTTTGTGGTTTGACATCTCTGGAAGCCCTCGATGGAATTACAGCATCATAATTCACAGACATCTGTTCCTTATTATATACGCTGTATAGTGGATATAGCAGAATTCCTGCTGCCAGTTAGCAGGAAAGAGAAGTAATATTTCACAGCTCTGAAGTAAAGGAGGTCTGTATTTCACAGTTATGACAACATAGCTGTCAAGTATGGCTTTTTAAAGTGTTACATATGAACCCAGACAGCTTTTATGGTAGTGTTTGTTTCAAGGGGCAAGTTAAGGTGAGCCTCAAATGGTCTGGAATGCAGCTACTTGAGAACCTGTCTTTCCCACTATTGTTAGCAAGGCTGTTAGGTCAGCTTCTAGGTGTGCTCTGCAGAGGAATATCTGTGATTGGTTTCACTGTATAATACCTGCTCCATGCCCCTTTGTATGTAATGGGCAGCTTTTTGTATTCCTCCATGTATTGCTTAAAAAAGGATTAGGAATAACCATGGAATAACACCTTCTGATTAATAGCAAAATGGTCACCATTTCCTAAGGAAGCTTTAGGGCTCATTTTGGAGGTGTGGTGAGGCACTGGCACAGGTTGCCCAAGGAGGCTGTGGATGCCCCATCCCTGCAGGCATTCAAGGCCAGGCTGGATGTGGCTGTGGGCAGCCTGGGCTGCTGGTTGGTGACCTGCACACAGCAGGGGGTTGGAACCACATGGGCACTGTGCTCCTTTTCAGCCCAGGCCATGCTGTGATTCTGTGATTTTTATGTTCCCATAGCATTCAGAAAACACTTCTTTTTGAAGATGCTCCACTGCTATCAACAAATATTCTGAGTGGATGCATAGTGTCTGCCATGCAGCTGAGCTGTTCTCATTAAGTGTTGATTTAATTATCATAACTGTAATCATTAAGTGATGATTAAATACGATTTTGAGGACCTGAGTGTGAATGAATGAACTCCACATTCCCCAAATGAAGTCTTTTTCCGTAGCTTGGCAGTGTTTTTCTGACTACATGCTTGTAATATATTGTAGTTCATGTTCAAGTTGGGATGAAAAGGTACAACAGAAAAAGAAAAAGACTCAAATCCAAAGCAGTTGTTTGGCTTGAAGTAATGTTATTTTCATCACCTCTCTCTGGGATCTGATAATAGCAAGGTGGCTTTCTGTTATATCTTCATATAATGGTGTATGTTTAAATCAACAGAAAGTTATTGGCACTTGCTTCAGATGTTGTAAAGGAGCACCATTCTCCTTTGTTAAATCGCAGAGTAATAGAATATCCTGAACTGGAAGGGACCCACAGAGATCCTGGAGTCCAACTCAATGTGTATCACAGTGTTTCTTGAATGTTGCTATGTGAGAAGTGTGGAATGGCTTCATCCTTTTCGGTTTGGCAGTGAAAAATTGTTGAACAACTCAATGTGTGTCCTGGTTTCAGCTTTATCATTGGAAATAGTATTTGTGTTGGTTCTTGACATAGTGTCAGATCAGCATGGCTCCTGCTCTGCTGCACGCCCTCTCCTATGAATTATGGCTCTTGATTTACCAGAGGTGCTTTTTAAAAGCAATTAATTCACTTCATTTAAAATATAAAATAAAACACAGCAGTCTGGAACTCACCTGCCTGTGACCTGATTTGTGCTGCTCTGCTTTCGAGGGATCTTATGGGTGGTTGACCACAGCATCAGCGAGGCTGCAGGGATTCCATCTCCAGCTGGTTGCAGTCCTGAGCAAACTGCTGTGGTCAAGCCTGGTTTGAGCAGGGGGATTGGATTAGGTGATCTGCAGGGTTCTCTTCCAACCTCATCTGCTCTGTGGTTTGGTGGGTTTTATGAGCATTGAGTTATTGCACATGTAACAGATAACTTGGAAGTATTTACATCCAAGAAGAATTGCTGTTCTTGAGCTTAATTCTTCTCCACTTGTTGAACGCATCCAAACTTGTAGGCTTTTTCTGCTTCTTGTGCATAGAAATCCTCATGGTGTGTGGCTTTGATTTGCATTGTGCGTGTGAAAATGATAACAGATTTCCTCTCTGTTCTGTTCACGATAAGGAAAAATTAGCAGTGGAAATGTTGCAGAGAGCACAAGGCCGAGCCCACAGTCCTTGCCCGGACCCCACAGGTTTTTGGCACTCGTTGTCGTGTACTGTTCATGTTTTAAGAGCTGAAGAGGAACTGAGCTGCAGACTAGGATCAGGAAGCTGGTAGGGAGATACCAGTGAGCGCCTCTTCTCTGTCCTCCACCCCCTTGGATGCTTATTAAGATTGGTCTACATTTAATTGACTGAGCGGCTTGACAGCATCCACAAGATTTATGGCTTGCATGAAGTTGTAGCAGACTGTTAAATGAGGACAGAAGTTGTTTCCTTATTTTTTCTGGCTCTTCCATTGCCTGTTGTTGGACTTGAGGCATTAATTGCAGTGGGTTGCTCATCTTTGAGCCAACGTGCTACTCCTTAATGTGTGCTTTTGTCTCTCCCTTTTTCTGATAGAAGTTGTGCACGTGGCTGCCATGATAATTTAGAGAGATGCTCTTGTTAAATTCGTTAGCAGTCTGTGGAGGGAAGGGAGGAGGGAATGAGTTTTTTGAGAGGAGGATTAACTGCGGAGTGCCTTCTCTCCTTTTCTTTTAATTTCTCTTAAGATTGTGAAAGCTGTTATCACAGTTTTCCATATTGGAATTATTAGTTAGGCCATGACTTTGGGATTTACATGTAGATTTGGGCTCAAGTGCTCAGCTGTGCCAAGTTGTCACATGTGAAAACAGATGGCGTGGCCAAATCTTCAAAGCAGTTCTGCAAAACTGAAGCTGTTGAGCACTGGGTGAGTCAGGTTGAGATAATGGTTTACAAGAAAGAGTTGTAGTCCTGGGTAATGGTGTATTTTTGCCCCCCCTTTCTTGTTTTTAAAGAGGGCTTTTCTTCATCTGCCCATTAACCTTTCCTTGCTAGCACTACATATCAAGGAGATAAGAAAACGCATCCTAGGCTGTAAGCAGAAATGTGGAGCCTACAAGGAAGCAAAGCACTTTGGAAAGGCAGCATACAAGTGAGGGGACTTAGCTGAAATCCCATCGACTGCAGAATCCAAACCTCCTCCATTTCCTTCCAGAATGAGAACGCATGCTCGACTGATAAATACAAAGGCCAGGGAGAATAGGAAGAAACAAATGCTAAAGGGAAGAAGGAGTACTTCCATTTTTTTTTTTCCTCCTGTATCACAGCATAAGCAGCTGTGGAATGGTCAGGGCAGCAGTGCTGTTCTCTGGGTGGCTCCAAGCTCATCTCCATGAGAGTGCTTTGGGATTGCCATAGGAACGTGCTCAGTAGCAGTGCTGTGTGCTGCTCAGCTGATGTCCAAGCATTGCACAGCACGAGTTCAGCTGTATGGCTTCCCTGTGCCAGGGATTCTCTAACATATCAAAGTTGTACATGCAAAGCCAGATAGTTTACATGATGGTGATTTATAACTGTTGACACATCCTCTATTCAAGCTGTGTGCTATTCATGTTTGTGTTTGTTTTTAATGGGGGATGTTTAAAATGGATAAATATTGCTTTTGTCTGGTCAGATATTTGGAGAGAAGTGGTGATTATAAAGGCTGTTTTGTTATTAGACACATTTCAATCCTCTTCTTTATTCTCAAAGAGGAAAAAAGGGGAAAAAAATCACAAAACAAATAAAATTGAGCCAACTGTGGTTGTTGCAGTGAAGTCAACACGAAAACTTTTCATGGGCCGTGGAAGGCATATGCAGCAGGATGGCATTCAGTCCTTATCTTCTGTTCCCTTCTGAACAGCTTAACTTCTGGCATCTGTGAGCAAAAGATGGTTTATAAAGTTGAAAATGAATTTTTCCATATAATATATTGGTACTTGACACTTGTGTGTGCGTGTACAGTGTGTAGATATGAAGATACATAGGTACATGGATGCTTACCTAAATGAAGGCTCATTTTGGACATCTGTGTTGATGTTGGGCTGTAACTCAGCTGTTGAGCTTTGCAGCAGGGCAGTGGGAGGACAGAATCAGCACTTGAAGTGGACGATGAAGCCACTGACCATGGAAAGCATGAGCAGGTGTCATAACATGGCACCAGGCCGTGGTGCCTCTATTTGGCTGCCATTGAAGTTTCTCATACCACATACAGAATTGGTTAACCTGGTCCTGAGTGCTGTACAGCACTGTGGGAGGTTCTGGAATTGCACAGTGACCAACAGGGCTGCATTTAAGAAGCGATGCATTTTGGGGTGTTACCTGCTAATCAAATGCAAGGTATCCAATGGGTACCAAAGCCATGTACTTGTGTTTACTGAGCTATTCCATTAGTGTTCTGGTTGTAGTTACACATTTGCGGATTGTTGACATAATTACAGCTGTTTGGTTATTAAACAACTGAACTTTTCAGCAAAGAAATAAATACAAGCTTGGTGGCATTGAATTCGTTTCCAATCCCCATGTTCTGACTTGGGCTCAAAGTTGTCTTCTTCCACAAACATTTGCAGGCACGATGAAAGAAGAACACCAAATGGATGATTTTATTAAAGGACATTTCCATTAAAATTTTTGTATGATTGAATAAAGCTCAGTCTTGTGAAAGCAGCATTCTGTTCTCAGGCTAATCTCGGGCTATTAAGGAGAAGTATGAAAAACTTACAAAAACCAGCTTCCTGTTACATTGGTTGTGCTTAAAAACATACTACATCAGCCATCTCTGAGCAGGATGAGGCCCTGCCAGCCTTTATTTAAACAATTCATAACATCTTGTAAGAAAATTATCTACAGCAGAAGTAGAATGACAGCACTTCTTAAATATTTTTATTACGGCTTCCTCCACTTGAAGGGTTTGAAAGCCTTATAGTATGAATGCTACTGTGTGTTAAATGTTAATGTGTTTTATGTTCCCATGTAGCGTAAAAGTCGTTGTGAGAGCAATAAATACTCTGGAAAAGATGTTGTAAAACAAACTTGCTGCTTCAAAGATTTTGTCTGATAATATTTTTGTAGCGTAGCAAAAGAAAACCATTACACTGATTGTAGAAGCACTGTATATAGAAAAGCCTTTCTTCAAATACATTATTTAAAGAGCCTGTTATGACAGTGCTGTTCTCATAGTCGTCTCAGATGTAGGGAGAAAGGAAAAGAAGCTGGGACTCGTGCAGAATCTTACTCATCTCTGCAACATGGGGACCTTTCAGGGCTCTTCCCAATGGGGATGCACTGTCTGGTGCCATTTCCCTGTAGTGACATCTCCTCTCAGATTGCCCCTGCTCCCTTGTATTCCGTTACACCCTTCTGGTATGGAATTATTAACATTACTGTGTTATTATTGACCACCACATGCATAAAAACTTCAGGTTTCAAGGAATGATGGTATTTGAGTGGTTGTGTATTATGATCTAATTCTAGCTCGTTTACTTGCCTCTTATGTTTGAGGATCTTTTCCATGAAGGTGGAAAACCAAGAAAATGAATGTCTGTCAGCTTGTAATGCAGGTTGGTCAGGTAAAATCTACTGCTGAGTTTCCTGGTGGCTGTCACAGCGAGCAGAAGGAACCAACCAGGTCCTGTAGTGTTCAGCTGCATAGCAAGTCTATGTGCTTTGCCTGTCATTTGACCTTTGCAGATCTCTCAATCTAGATTCAAAAGATGCTTTTTAAATGTATGCTTTCACAGAGACAAAACAGCATTTGGGGCTCCATTGAAATTTGTAGCAAACGAGCAACGATGTGCACAAAATCATTAACGTGGAGATGATCTGCGTCTGCTTCCTTGTATTCCTCTGTTTTTAAGAATGCTTTGTTGCACGGCTGCTGGCGTGAGATACACAGATGTAACAAAGGTAGATTTGTGTCTCTTTCAGAGGGTCCTCAGAGCTCAGTGTCAGCTTCAAATGAGATCCAGCAGAACCAACCACAGGCACTGCACTACGCACTGGCCAACGCCCAGCAGGTTCAGATCCACCAAATAGGAGAAGATGGACAAGTCCAAGTAGTATGTATTCAGCCTTTTCTAACTTGCTCTGTTTAGATAATCCACGTTAATATAAACTTTGCTTCAACTGAAATTTAATTTTTCTTATTGTTTGTAATGACTCATTGTCATTTAGCAAGGGTGACTTTCAGAAAATAAACATTGAAGGCTTATGTAAAGAGTTATTGGCAAGAATATCCAATCCATGCAGGACTTGCTCACAAAATCATTGCAGATAAATATGCATTCATTTCTGTATCTCCTATGAAGAAAGGTTGAGGGAACTGGGCTTATTTAGCTTGGAGAAGAGAAGGTTCTGGGGAGACCTGATTGCGGCCTTCCTGTACTTGAAGGGAGCGTTTAAACAGGAGGGGGAACGGCTCTTTATGAGGGTGGATGGTGACGGGACAAGGGGAATGGTTTTAAATGGAGATGGGAGGTTTAGGTTGGGTATTAGGAGGAAGTTTTTCACACAGAGGGTGGTGAGGCACTGGCACAGGTTGCCCAAGGAGGCTGTGGATGCCCCATCCCTGCAGGCATTCAAGGCCAGGCTGGATGTGGCTCTGGGCAGCCTGGGCTGCTGGTTGGCGACCTGCACACAGCAGGGGGTTGGAACTGGATGAGCATTGTGCTCCTTTGCAACCCAGGCCAGTCTGTGATTCTATCTAGAATTGAGAAGTCAAGTCTCTGCCCGGCCCTTTGCTTGCATTTGTTCCCATAATACTAACAGCAGTCTTACAGCCTGTACCATTCACCCTAAAGTAATAGTTCTAACTATGACTTTCGAAACAAAAATGCATTTATGTGATTCACAGAATCATAGCTTCATTTATTTTCAAGTATGACTGCATTCTCAGGCATTTTTGAACATCTGTTGGCCGAACTGTTACATGTGTATTCATTTAGATACATGTATATAAGCAGAAGTTATAAATATTGACATTTTTTGACTGCAAGACTGCTATCAAAGCTCAGACAACAATTTTTTTTTTTTAGACAAGATTTGTGTATTCTGACCAAACATACCTTAGTTCAGCTCCTGTGTGCCACGGTTTAACTGCAACAATCATTTTTTTCTTTAAATTATATGTAAGAAAGGAAGAAAACAATGAAAAGATGGATGGTGCAGCGTTTCTCACACATGTGGTTTCTGATATGCAACATTCAGAAGTAGTAAATTACGTCTGCACGTCCACTCTGCTGTAGAAACCTGAGGATGCAATGCATGCAGTCCACCTGCCATTAGCTTTCAGAAACTTTGGGTTTTGCAGCTTTTATGCACTCTCATAAAAGGCATAAACCTTTTTCTAAGGCTTTTTCACTGGCTGTGTTCATGATTTTAAGGTACCCAGAAGCCTTGAGTGTGGGCCTGTGGGCAGCGTAGAAGCACAGAGCAGGACTGAATGGCAGAGATGTGTACAGACCTGTGCGATGATGTAAACCCTCTGTCCATAGAAACCAGGCTGCAGGAATCTGAAGAGCTACTGAGCAGCATGGCAGCCCATAATACCCACTGGTGTGCCTGTTGCAAGGGTTTTGGTCAGTGCCACTGCAGAGAAGAGTTTGGGTAGGATAATGAGGTTTCTTTGGCCAATACTTCTGTCAGTACTCAAGTGAGAGAGGTGGCAGACAGAGGAACTTTCATCTCACTTTGGTCATAAGCTCACAAGATAACATGGTAAGGTTCTTTGTCTCTTGGTTTTTCCCTGTATACTTGAAGGAACACACCTTGGTTGCTTTTTGTGTCAGTTGATCGTTAAAGAGTACTTTAAAGCCTTGAAAGACAAAGTAGAAGGAGAATGACGTGAAAGACAGGGATGCAGTGGACAAAATAGTTATGTTTGTGGATCTGAGTGGTGAAAGTTTACTTCGTTAAAAAAACTATCTGGATCTGCCAATCATCTTTTAAGTAATTGTTGTGCAATCTGGGAGAAAAATCAACTAATACCCACAATTGAAACATGGTCATAATTTGCCTGGCATGTAGGGAGGGATATGAAGCAGATGAAGATGGTGTTGCTTTTTTAATTCTAAGGAATGAAGCACATGAGGCTGAGAGTCATTACTGTCACAGTAGTCATTTATACTGTGTGGATGTAAAGCAAATCAGTGTTGAACTGAATGCTGGGGATTTCCTGAATGTCTGTAAGCTTTAAGAGTTAAGATTCAGAAAGGTTTTGGTGGAATTCACAAACAAACTGAAGAGGCTGTCCTTGAAGGCCAGCTCTGTATCTGCAGAAGATGAGTGAGCAGTTCTGTTTTGGAATGCTATGAGATACAAAGGCAAATAAAGTCACCTTCTTCCCCCCTCCTCCCCCCTTCCCCAGGCAGAAAGGATTGCTTGTTTGAAAATGCTGTAAATGGATCTTCTAAATGTTCCTTGCTTTTCCCTGGGAGCCCTGAGAGCTCAGTGTTAAGGAGGGAAACTGATTCTAATCTTGACGTGGACTGGGCTCTGCTCTAATTTTATATACAGTCTCTATTGTCAGAGTGATACTTTCAGTATGTTTTTTCTCCCTATAAATAGATGGTTTCCTTCCAAAGGAAATGAAACTGTTTGAAATAGAGGGATCTGTGTTTCTTTGAAAATCACATGCAATTGTTCTTGTGTTATAAAATAAGAAGAGCCTTTGACAGAATTCCAAATGATTATCTTTAATCTCTGTCTCATGCAGGCATATTAAAATGAACACAAAGCCTTATAAACTCCCAAGTAGGTTATTTAGAATCCAATCTCCCTCCAGGTAAATCACGGGGGCAAAGACCTCTCTGGGCTGGTGAGGATGCACAAGGAATTCCTTCCAGCCTCTTAACCATGTTTCAGTCAAATGATAGGCATGATGCCATTCTGCAGGGGTGGTGTGGCCAGCCACACTGAGCATTAACCTTATTAAAGCCCCTAGGGCAGATTCTCAGCTAACACAAGCCAGTGTAGCTGCACTGGAATTGCTAACTTTATGCCAGTTTATAGCAGCTTGAGAGGTTGCTGTTAGCATGGCAGCGTGCCTCGCCGTAACTTGGCTAGTGACAAAATGCATGTGATTTTAAAATAACCTTTTAGAGACAATGTGTGAGTAGTTTTGTCGTAGCTCTTTGAAGAACTGAGTTTCCAAGGCCTTTAAATGGGTTTCTTATTTTGAACTCATCGGTTTGGGAGAGCTAATGCCTCTCTACCAACTCCTGTTAGTCCCGTGTATCAGTCACAATTGCAGGTTCTTCCTTTGTAGAGAAATGTACTATATAAATGTACTTTTTTTATTATTATGCCCATTTTCTTTTCCTCTGATGTGAAAAGGAATGACTGAAAGATGGCAAAATATGGGTACACTTAAGCTAAAGCAATCTTAAATGTTTTCCATTGGAGAAGTCTTTTTCTTCCACCTACAATTATGAATGTTTTAACTGCATTCAATCCAAACAAGTAGTTTCTTGCTCTAGTTTTGGTTTCCTTCTGATGCTTCCTGGTGTTTTCTTTTGTTGTGGATCCCGCAGGGCCATCTCCACATAGCCCAGGTTCCTCAAGGCGAGCAGGTCCAAATCACGCAGGACAGCGAGGTGAGCCAAAGCTTTGGGTACACGTGGGTACAACGTGGGGCCCTGATGTGGGAGCCTGTGTGAGATGTCCATGACTGTGCTAAATGGTCTTTGTTGGAGATGGAGCTGGGTACTCGGAGCATTATAGGGAACCTAGGTTGGGTGCTTGCATCCTCCTTGAGGAGAGGCAGCATTCAGTAGGTGTGCAAACTGACTGTGTTGGGAATGCTGTGTCTTTAATTGTGTAAACTCTTCAGCAGGAGTCTGGAGAGTAGTCAGACTTCATCTCGTGAAGATACATTCCAGACTGAAGTGAATTTACCTTCCTTACGCATCCAGCAATCTGGCGCTGCGCTATTTGCACTTCATAATTTTTTCCATAAAAATGGAATGATAGAAGGGAAACGGAGAAATCCAGTACTGAACCCTCCAGTTTGGGCTTTGTTTTCCACTCAGGCAAAAGCACCACTGCAGCTGCTCCGTGCAACTGAGTGGGGAAACTGTTGGTTATTTAAGCACGTATAGAAACTCATAACTGCAGGGGCTGCTGTCTTATTTCTTCTGCTCTCAGACTTTGTTTACGTGAGGAAGCAATAGCAAAATAAGGTTAAGAGTAAATACTGACTGCAGTATTTACTGTATATGATTTCCTCATAGCCGTACCTTTTTGTGGGTTAGTTGAATCCATTTCCAAAGCATCCAAATAAAAATTCTTTAAACCACTGTTGGTATAGAGGAATACTGATGACACAGGGAGGTATTGAAAGGTAAATATTATGATAAATACTACATAAATATTACAGTTAAAGGCAGTGTTCCTGATAAAGTTCTTCAGACCGAGGGAGCAGCAAGGAAGGATCAGAATGTGCTGCAGTGAGTTTGAGACAGTTCTGGAGTGTGCACCATTGGTGTAAAAGCTGCTGGAAAAGAAAAAAGCCATTCATCGTGTCCAGTTATAATCGATGCTGAGGTTTAAATGCCTGCATCCATGGGCTGGGAGCTGTTGGGTGTGAGAGAGTGAAGGGTTATGTTGGTCTGTGACAGATGCAGACATCTGGTTTTAAGTTTATTGCAACGTATGCAGCTTCAAAAAAAAACAAAAAAAAGAAGAGAAGAGGAAGTGTTGCCAGTAAAAGAAAATGTAGAAAATAGGGAAATCAAAGAACTAATTTGTTTTCCTGAAAGCAATGTCCTTCTTGGTGTTAGGGCAGCAGGTTTTCGCTTTGTCCTTGTGCATTTAACAGGGCATCCCTGAGCATATGGGTGAAAGCTTCCCTTTGTTACCATTCTTCTTTCACTTCTAGACTTTGTGGCTGCAGATCCCTTCGAAGCACTTGATGTTATTCAGTTTGTTGCAATGGCTGCAGTTCCTGTAACAGAACTGTGCTGGCCTTTGGCATCAAATATTGGTGAAACAAAAACCTGTTAGCACAGACAGTGACTTTCTGGCAGCGTCCTGTGCTGATAAGTCTTACACAACTGATTCTAGTTCAGTAAGGCTTTGACTTACATTGGCACTTACATGTGTGTATATGGAAAAAGAACAATCCTAGGAAAACTTGCTGGTGCTGAAAACCCTCCTTGCTTTTTTTATAACAGAAGTCTGTTGATCCTCTGTGGTTAAAGCACTGAGCATTGAAGCGTATCTGAATTGCCAAGATAGCCCTCAGAAATGTTTCCTCAATTAGTAGATATCCTTAATATTGAAGTGGTCTGATAATGAGATGAGAAACGGGCTTTTTTCATGAGTGAGCAGTTTTCTGGATTCACAGCTTGTTAATTGTCAATGCTTTTTGTCTTACAGGGAAACCTGCAGATACATCAAGTGCACGTTGGGCAGGATGGGCAGGTAGGAACCGAGCTGAGCTCTGAGCACCTTCCTGCTTTATGATTGGTATTGCAGTTGGAATGGAATGATTTCACATTATGAGTGTTTTACAGAGCAAAACCTGTTCTGGGCTTTAAGCAAGCAACAGTGTGAGAACATAAATTCAAGTGTTTTGTCTGTGGGCTTGAAGCATGTGACCGAACTTAAACCATTCCTCCTGCCATAGGCTTTATCCCTGTGTTTTCTACTTTCTTTGGCCTCTTCACTGCAATGTTTACTAACTGGATTGATTATTTGGTGTACAGTATGTTCTTTTCCATGTTATCAACTGTCACTGGGGCCAGATGTGGGCTGCAGGCTGTGCAAACTGACGAACGTTTATTGCTGAGTTTTAGGCAGCTATTTTTTCATTATATGGCTGTTTTGGGAGAAACAGATCTTTCACATCTGCTTTTGTTCTTTCTGATAAGATGGTTTTATTGGGTGCATGTGCATACATGAGGTAAGGAAAGCGTTTTTGCTTTGAGTGATGAGTCAGTAAGTGTTTAAATGAGCAGAATGTCCACGTTAGTTGGCAGTGTTGTTAACGGATGATCTCAGGCACACTCTGCTCAATGCTGAATTCTATCACTGTGTTCACAACGATATTCCTGTATGGAGCTTTCTAGGTGGACCACTTGATTTTACAAAACAAAAAACTGTTGTGAGGCTTTGCTGTTTGTGTTCAATATTAATAAGCTGAGATATTTGGTTGGAGTTTCAGCGCTGCCCTGGGCTGCAGTGCTCACAAACCCACAGGCCACGAGCGCTCGGAGCTTTTGACTGTATGCAGTAAAGAAGCAATATGAAACATAGAGATTAAAAAAGCCCAAAGCTTTAAATATTTGTTACTGGGACTTTAATCAAAAATACTTTTTGAGAAGCAAGACTGGGCAAGGTGATATTTTGGGTACATGCGATAACTTTTGTTTTAGAACATAGCAATCTCTTTTCCTTCTTTGCAACGTATTGATATCAAAATTGCATCTTCTGAAAAGGTTAATGCTAGGTGGTTTGATGTCTCTTTGATAGCAGCCTGTATGAATTAACTTGAATTGTGTCAATCACAGCTGAGTACCGTTATTGTTCCCCTGCAGTGCATTCTCAGTGTGCCACAAATGGCATCTTAAGTAGAGCCAAAGAATGTAGTCTAAATCGTCATTGCAAATTCGTGCTGTATGAAGGGATGTGCTTGAATGCTGAAGATCTTCCTGACCCTGTCCTCCATGCCAGGCAGGGGCAGGCATGTCCTTCCATACAGCAGTAGCACTCAGCTCTGCCTTGTGCTAAGATGCTTATGGAGCAAAAAGACTTCCAAAGCACAAATGCTCATCTGGCCAGTTGTGTTAGGACACACAGGGCTGGAAAATGGTGTTCTGAAAGCACTTGCTGTGTGCTTATGTGTGTGTGTGTGTATATACAGTATGTTAGTAGGTTGTCTGTGTAAAGACACCTGGGCTATCAAGCAGTGTAGATATTCATGGGGATAGTTTGGTTCTGAGTGGCTGTGTATGTATGAAACAAATCCAGCACCCAGGTCCCCCAAAAGCACTCGCTGCTTAGCTGTGTTCCAGCAGAGAAAAAAAAACAGCAAGCAACTATTTAGGGCATTTTATCTCCTTTCTTCACTCAACATCAAAACCTTTGGCAGCAGCTGAGGCCATGTGGGCTGCTTTTGCCCTGGGGTGGATGAGCAGCACTCACATGATTCCTGCAGCAGCTGAGCTGCGGTAAGTGACCAGTTCTGGAGCTATTAGCTCATAAAAACTGCGAAGGAAAATGAGTTAAACTCAACTCTGTTTGTGGTTTAAGAATGGAAGTTGAAACTAATGCATTTTCCTTGGCACTGGCAGTGGGATAAGAGCACAAAAACCTGTCATACGATACGGCTCAGCAGTAATGTAAGTCAAAACAATCCAGTAGCTCGCATTGGCTGTGCATGACCTGCGATCAAAAGGACTTCTGTGCTTTTCCCACCTGTGCATTGCTTTTTAGGAGAGTGCCTTTTTCGTCCTAGTTAAGAACTTGAACATTCCCTGCCAGGGTTCTCTGAGCAGTTGGATAATAAGGGAAGTGAATAACGCATCACTTGGATGTCTTCATTCACATATCAATGTGCCCAGCTGACACATAGGTACTTACTAATAGCACTAGGTCTCAGCTTGACTGCTTACTTTCCCTTTGAAAATGCTTCTTGTTCTCCTGTTTCCCACGTGTTATTGTAACCTTACATCTTAGTTTCAGCTGGGATGGAATTGTTTCCTTCAGGTGTGATGCTGTGTTTTGGTTCTAGGAGAAGGGCAGCATTGGTAACATGCTGGTGTTTGTAGCTGCTGCTGAGCAGTGCTGTGCAGAGCCAAGGCTGTTGTCAGCAAAGGGCCCAGGGAGCAGGGAGGGAACACAAGGAGGACTGACTTGAACTGGCCAAAGGGAAGTTCTGGCATCAGTTGGGGTTGGTGAGAATTGCTTGTGCATCACTTGTATGTTGTTCATATGGATTTGTATCATCATTGTCATTATCCTTTTCTCTATCTTAGTAAATCATTTGATCTTAAACCACAGCATATTAGCAGGCTCCAAATATCCTCTCTGTCGAGATGAGGTTTGGTCCTGCCTCCTGATGTGCAGCCCCAGCTCCTAGTAAGCATTCTGCTTCTTGTTCAGGGCGAAGCATGGGATCATTCATCTGAACGACGGGGGAAAATGGCATAAATCTACCATGAAGTTTTATCAGTAAAGCTTCCAAGGTGACGGATATGTTTTAAGGCTCATGATGCTGGCAGTAAACAGCAGCTTCTCTGTAGAATGCTGCAGTTGTTGATTTCTTTCTTTTTCTTTCTTTATTTTTCCACCCACTTCTGAATTGTCTGTCCTGGTAGTTGCACTGAATTTAGATCTTGTTTTTCTGGCATCGTTGTTCATGGAACTAATGAAATCATTCCAAAAAGAACTTTCTCTACCTACACATGTGTTCTATTAGCTGAAGGTTTCATATTTCAATGCATGTTTAATAAAAATACCAAACTGCAAAAATAATTAGACTTCATATTAACTAACGCTTGAAGCCTCGGAGCAGTGGGAGTTTCTGGGCATTTGGTACTTGTGAATTACTAGGAGGTTTCTAATCTGTCTCTTCCCTCTGATTACCTGACTTCCTTTCCCCTATCTCCATCATTCCTTTCCTTGGTTGAGCCGTAGCTTTTTGCACATCAGGAGGTGTTCAATGTGTGCCCTGCACACGATGTGCTGCCGTGGTGCCAGGCTGCTTGCAAGCTTTGGATTGCAGAGAGGCAGAAGATGACAACGTGAGCAGTTTGACGTTACTTGACGTTGTGTTTTAGGCGTTGCATTCAGTGCATCCTCACAGCCAGCCTTTCTCCAATGTAGAAATTAATTAAAGTGACACCAGGCAAACGATCTTTAACTAATAGCCCTAGTTTTTAAATTAAATTTTAATACACTTCAGAATCTAAAATAGGATCGTATATATATTGCTGGAGAGCTGACAATTTGTTCTGCTCAATGAACAAATAATTAATAGGAATAGCAGCATTAGCTCACATAATCTGAAGTAAGAGTATCTGTAGGTAAGCTGGAGTAGTTAGTGCATTCCAGAACAGAGTGTGGTTAGCAGCAAAAAGTCAGCAACTGTAAATTGCTTTTGTAATGCCACCCTTCCTACTATGCATATGCAATAAACATTTAGAGTTGTTCCTGACAGGACAAGGGGGAATGGTTTTAAAGTGAGACAGGGGAGGTTTAGGTTGGATATAGGAGGAAGTTTTTCACTCAGAGGTGCTGAGGCACTGGCACAGGTTGCCCAGGGAGGCTGTGGATGCCCCATCCCTGCAGGCATTCAAGGCCAGGCTGGATGTGGCTGTGGGCAGCCTGGGCTGCTGGTTGGTGACCTGCACACAGCAGGGGGTTTGCAGTGATTATTGTTCTCCTTTTCAGCCCAGGCCGTTCTATGATTCTGTGATTCTTGCAAAGCTGCCATCACGCTGGAGCAAATAGAGTGGATGCTGCAGAGTAGCAGCTTGCTGCTGGGCCTGCAAGGTCGGAGCAGACACGTGTGTGAGGAACGGATCAGTGAGAGCTTATGTTTCATGTCCTCAGGAGGAGGATGGGTCTGCTGCCTCGTTCAGGTCTGGTTTCAATACACACAGAGCTCCCCGTAACAAGCTCAAAGGAGATATGACCTCATCACCTGTGTTTGAAACATCTGTCCTATTGCTGTTCTCTGCTGCAGCCTGAATTGCAGGGCAAGCTGTTAAGCCTTACAGGAATAGAAAAGGGAGAGAAGTGTTCCAAATGTGGAGAATAAACCTTGCTAATCCTAGTAATTCCACGTAATACCTGGGGAGTCTCACTTGTGAGCAGATGAAACTCGGATGAGAATAGCTTGTTTGTGGAAGAAATTGCTTAGTAACGTATGGGACTGTTTGAAAGCAGCTCTTCTGAGGTCTCGTTTGTGTCTGTTTACCTCACTGATAATTACTGAGATATTCAGACTTTGCAAGGAGAGCAGGGCAGTTTTTTTAACATCCAATTCAGTTCATAATTCCAGCAAGGTATTCAGTGATACAAACAAATGTATGGATGGACCAAGCCAGTGTCTGCTCACTTCTACATGTGCTGCAGATGGCATTTTGCTGGGAAGGAAACTTTAATATGTTTTCTGAATATGCATTTTAATTGCCTTTCCTAAGCCTTTGGAAGTAGATACTGCAGTTTCTATCAATATTAGCAACTTCAATAATATATTATCTGAAACAGAGGGAAGAACCGTATTTCACAGCTCTCAATTCTCACGTAATGGATCTAATTAAAAAGATTTTAAAATACTATTTTTTTTTTTTTGAAATTGGAAGGCTGTAGTCAAGACCAAATGCACTGCACACCGCTATTGCTATCCCTCATTTCCAAGCAGCAGAGGGCAGTAGCACTAAGATGATTGTCAGCTGCCTTCTGAGCAAAAGCCT